TGGACATCTTTACATAGAGGAAATTATTCCATGTGGACATCTTTACATAGAGGAAATTATCCCATGTGGACATCTTTACATAGAGGAAATTATCCCATGTGGACATCTTTACATAGAGGAAATTATCCCATGTGGACATCTTTACATAGAGGAAATTATTCAATGTGACTGCGGACATCTTTACATAGAGGAAATTATCCCATGTGGACATCTTTACATAGAGGAAATTATTCAATGTGACTGTGGACATCTTTACATAGAGGAAATTATTCAATGTGACTGTGGACATCTTTACATAGAGGAAATTATCTTCTAACTTATCACTTCCAGAAAAGCTTGTATAGTAATTTCTGTGAAGGAGTTCTACATGTTCTGTCTATTTTGATTCTCCTGCCTCAAGTTTCGGCTGTTATCTAAGAACCAATAATATCTCAGACAAGAACTGGTGATAGTCTGATGGCAGCGATCCAAGAACTTGTTAAATTGTAATTGACAATCCACGAACTAGTTGCCTGTAGGGCATGTGGTGTAGCTGTCTGAACATCATGCCAGTTCATTCAAAAACAGGATGGCGACGTGAATGAGATAATTAGATAAAGATTATTACATTTGGTTGGAATTTTGAGGAGGTTATTTTACTGAGGGCGTTATTTAATTATTTAAAGGTACACCTTCAGAAAAATATAGATAATTTACTAATTTTGATTTAACTGGTAGTATATAGAGAGAATGATTTCTGGGTGATATAGATCCCTGATGACAATCCTGTGGTGCTAGTACCCCTTAAAAATTGAGGGTATCAGCGAATATCACACGGTCTCCTAAGAAGACTTCGGGACAATTTCAAAAAGTTATATATGCAAGTACCATGGAATGTATGTCGACTCTTGACAATAATTGGTGATCTGGAACTCTATTCAGCTTAAACCGTCCATCGTAAAGATTTCACTGAACGTTTTGAATCTCACTTTCATTATCGAATAATGTGTAGGTATATAATTCTAATCTCATTGGAAAGAAAACGCTTTTTATAGGTTTTACTTACTTCTGGTCTTCATTTTCAATTAATGTTCTTAAGGAGGCGGACAGTTTCCATTTGGAATGAAATTGGATTTATGATACTGTTAAATCTGTCAGATTGCAACACACATATAGATAGAAATCAACACCATGTCCTTCAATTTAGCATGTAAGCTTAACAAAGCTGCTTTGAGGTATTTTCAACCCAATTACGACTCTATTCAAGCCCTCTGATTGGCTAAACTACATGTTAATGACAAAGATACATTGCCTTTATCACGCATCTTTACAATGTCAAGATGTACCTTGGCATCATTTCGTTAGGTTTCTCGTATCACTGAAGTTTGTAAATGCGGCGATTTGATTTGATTGTTCGCTAGTGAATACAGTCAAACAGAGAGAGCACTGATTGGCTGTATTCATTAGCGCACAATGCAATCAATTCGCTACATTTACAAACTAGTCAGTTAAATAAAGGCCGTATCTTTAAGTCAATAATGAGATAGACAGTATCATTGTACTCTAACAGAGTGGGTGGGTAGTTACTTGTAATATTCTTATTCTTGAATTGCCTAAATATTTAGCTGACTAACCATCAAGAGTTACAAGCTGTAACTATATACCAATTCCAATTCTACTTTCACTTTAATGTACTTTCATCCTTAGCACTATCGTTCTCCAATGGTTGTTGTTAATTATTTAATTATATATCGAAGTATAAACCTAATCGAGCTTACTGCCAATGGCTTTCTATGTGTTACGATGATAACATAGTAGCCAGCAAAAGAATTCATTTTTATAAGTTTTGTTGTCTTCGAAGATGGATCGTAAGAAGTAGAAAAAGAGCAAGCGACTTGAAACAAAATGAGCTTCACATCAATAAGTTAACAACGGGTAGCCCTTTCGAAAAAGAAAAAAAAAATCGAAAAATATTCAGTATGAATTATTGCTCTTCAATTTTACCTTGTAAACACTCTAGAAAGCACAATTTCCGAGAGATTTTGACGAAACTTGGGTTGTTTATAATCAACCACGGATGAAACCAATTGAAAATCAGAAAAATATTTAGCATTAGTTATTGTCTTTGTTCTTGGGAACGCGTTTAACATTTAGCTTGTAAACACTCTAAAAGGCAAAATTTTCGACGGATCTTCTTTCAATTTTTAGTTCGTAGACTCTAATAGGCACGATTCTTGTCGTATTTTGAACAAATATATTAATATTCAGTATCACCCGAAAAAGGTCTAAAAAGTATATTATGACTGATGATTGAATATTTCATACTGGTGATTGTTTTATTAAAAAATCAGAGCTGCCAATGGGCTTGCCTGGCAAGCTATCTTTCAACATTTTACACTGAAAAGTTCAAATTGAGAGAGAATATTTCCGACACATAGACAAAATCTCATCATGCACTTAAGCTCCAATAAATCTAATAAGTGGTATAGTTTTCCACGGCGCTGATTTTATTCCCTTGATAGATTGGAATAAATCGCTTTGAAAGAAATGTGACGTATCTGCCGTCTTAAAAAATTTCTCTATTTAAGGTTAAAGGGTACAAAACTCATACATTATTCAAACAGACGATTCAACTTTTTGTACTGGGATTAATATGGAAGATGGTGGATAAAGGAAGACTTAAGCCTCTGATAAGTCTTCATGAACAATAGGTTCAACTCTATTTAAAGACTTGCGTCTTCCAGGATCTTGTAGACTAATTAATCTATGGAGCTTCTAATCCTTAATCCACGGGAAATTAAAACCAGGTTAAGTCTTCTCTCGAATCATCTTTACGCTAGATCCAGACCTCTGGGAAGAGCTCCCTGGCGTTCATTAATTATCCTATCTATTTCTCTTTCACTTTGACCAGAGCTGAATTTGCTCATAAGGTCCATCTTTTATTCATTCATTCTACATTTCATTCCTTCATGGATCAATATGAGGATAACTGTAATACTGCTGACAAGTTAAAAAAAAAGATAGCTTTTCATGTGGGCGTATAAAAATACATCACAAACAGCTAGCTGTGGACCTAAAACAGTTTTGCACATGTACCGACAGAATTCTCCCTCCTGGAAAATTGTGCATGACATTGGGAATGAATTCCGGACATGGTGCATTAGAACTACTGCGGCCGTCGGATTGACATTTACATCATTTAAAGATTGCAGGTTGGATTAGTACTGACGGAGAGAAATTATCCTAACCTTCCCGGTATATTTAAAGAAATAAAATTGTGTTGACGTCAGCAAGGCAGATTTAGAAATAAATCAATAAATATCTAACAAGGGTATAATTATCGCCAGGAAGCAAATAGTCCGAGTAAGTCTGCTTTTATTTCGTGTTCAGTTATGTCGAGTAATTCTAATATGGTACCTTGAGACTGGGAGAATTTGTTGATTGACAGCAGATCATCTCATACTGTCGACATTTGTTTCGGATATAAATCCTCAAAATCATAAGAAAACAAGCTGATCTTCAAAATTTGAGTAAAATTCGTAGACGGCAAGTACCAACGCCAACGCTGATATATATATGGTTAAATTTTGGACTATACCCAGAGCATAGAACTGTATGCCCAGAACTGTACACATATATGTAAACTGGTGTTGATACCTGGGTGAAAATGCTGTCTCATAACGCCATTACGTGAAACATAGCTCTATTACTCAATGGCGTCAAGTCAAAATCAAGGCAGAATACTTCGGATTAAGTAAGCACCAGTTTGAAAGGGCAAGTTAAATGTGTTGTTAAACTCACGATATTTCAAAGTCTATGTATGGATACCATAAGACGAGCTCTTGTCAAATAGAAAAAATCTTCCAGATGCATCAAAATAGATCAATTTTAATACCAGATACACAAAAGTTGGCCTTATTGCTCAGAGAAAATAAACGCAAGTCCAACATTCCGATCTCTCTCTACTATGATAATTCATGTTGCTCACACATCCGGATAGTTCGAAACATTTGCCTCTATTCCAGCCTCTGATGGACATTTTGACAGTTGTCGACTGGACTAGAGTCAGAAAAAAGACCCTGTTAAATAGGGATTTTCCACACCTGCGTAAATGCGTTTTATGTAACATAATATTAAATGAACGTTACGATGACTGAAAATTAGTACTGGGCAGCATCGTAACTTTCTTTTTGGTGGTAGCACGTGATTCTGTGACCTTTGAACTTTTGCGGAAAGTCTCCATTTAACAGGGCCGTCTTTTTCTGTATCTACTCCAGTCTACATCTGTCCAAATAGCTATCAGAGTCTGGAACAGAGACAGATGTGTACCCGACTCATTGCGTTGTCAACTCGTCATTGCTATGGAGAGTCCTTGAAGCAAATGATGTTGACGTATATAGTATAGCTATAATTGTCATGAGCCTCAATTTACAGATTTAACAAAGTGTTATCCATATTACTTCCGGGTTATAAGGCTAACAATCTGCTTATATTAAAGTTTGGTGCTAATTGCCTATATCCATATTTACTTAACAACCGGAAGTAGTTGTTCTCTGGCTATGCTGACAAATCCATCATATATTGTATCTAGCTTGGTTTGGATCAAACAGTGACGAAAGGGAAAGGTCATCTATAGTATCTGTTCTAGCAAACCACGGGGATGTTTCTGTGGCTCGTTCTGGATCAAGTTATAAAATTATTGAGATGTATTACTTTTCAGACAAACAGCCCATAAAAATTGAAATTTCCATGTAAAGTTATCATTGCTGTGTGACCTGTCGATTTTGAAGGTTTTCAACAGATATTAGAATACTTGTTTGAAAGTATTCATAAATATGTCAGATAGTGGCTTTTATCGGAAGAAATTTGAATTCTTCAGCTAAGACTCGAAGCAATTGAGAGGTCGTCAACCTCGTAGAAATTCTTTATTCCGATGAATGCATCTGAATAAATAACTTTGATACATTTTTAGGAAAACGTCCACGTCTATTTAGAACAATGTAACAATCGATTAATTATACTTACAACAATATAACATTTTAATATATTAATATCAACAAAATAACAATAAGCATGATATATATATATATGGCATTTTACGGGTTGAGTCAAAATTGAAATGACTGATTCCTATGGAACAAACAAAATATTTAACGGAAATTTGGTATAGGCATAGTTCTGCAAGAAAATTTCCATATTGGTCCATCAAATCGCCATATGAGTTTTCTACTGCTCGCTTATAGCTCTGGAAAAGCCCTCAAGTGATTTGTTAGACAGGTACATTGTGAGTTTCGCTAGTTTTCTTTCCTCTGGTCCAGCGGGTCGTACCGCCACACATTTCATTTTACCAGTCTTCCCTTCATATGTTCCCACGCATCTGTAAGTATAAGATAAAGATGGAATGAAGAGGAGTCTTTCGCCATTTCTTGATAAGAAAAAACAGGGAACTAAGGAAGTATCCAATGTTTTGAACACTCACTGAAAAAAATAAAGCCACCTACTAGGCTTCTGCGCTTTGTTCTTTTCTAGGATTTCAGAACTATGATGGTGAAATATAGTTTAAATGTCATTAATTCTAAACAATGAACCAATAAATGGATAAGTACCAGAGTGGCACCTGATGTTCAAGACACACAAGAACAAAGATCTTAGCTGGTAAACTGACCCCACATGGTTGTATTTCACGGAAAAGGACATTTAATTTTAGAAAACATTGTACTTTAATAACCTGTCACTATGTTTTTAATACTAGTAACATTTCAAAGTATCATATTGATTAACAACAGGAAAAGAATGATGAGGCTATTATCACCTATCTTTCAAAATTAAAACATTATAGCGTATGGTGTTCTGCTATTATAATCTACGTTTTAATCTTTTTTGCTATTCTGACAAAATATCACAATAAATATTTAATAGCTTCTATTCATAGCATTTCATGTCTCATTTCCTTGTAATGCCCAGAACATCTCACCTGTGCCATTGTCCTCTGGTTAATCTGGGTAAACTTCTGTCCTGAATTTAGATAAATGTGAATCTGGTTAACATTAAAGGGGAACTGCTTTCAATCAGAAGACCAAATTATTTGTTGGTCACGTAAACCTTACCAATAGGTCAAAAGTTATTTAAATGGATTTTTTGTGATCAAACGCCTTTTGGAAAGCAATGGTGTAAGTCTCCGTTGGGTTGTAATGCTGTAAAGTGCAAACTTGGTGGAAACCTGAACAGAGGGTCGTTGGTTATGGATCCTAGCTCGTATGTTTATGGGACTCTCAAACATCAATTAAAAATAATTATCTATAGTTCCTAAATTAATGAGATAAAATATTAATATTGGCAAGTCTTGACTTACTATTTCATAAAAGAGACATTGTATAGTATCCATTCCATCTTTCAAAATAAATTCTTTGCCTGTTCCAGACTGGTTCATTAATACAGCAGAGTCGACCATTCCTAAACAATAGTATATGACATAATGTAAGGAATTGCGATGTATTAAATGCTTGGGTTAGGAGCATGAACCCCTTGATCCTGAGGTCCCGATTTATTTCATCCAGTAACCTTTAGTCGTATGTTTTGGGGAATAAATTGTGACACCGGAAAGACATTCAAAGATACTCTCATAACCCCTTAGAAGTGCCAATACATATTTACTTTTTCAAGCAAATATAACATTATTTATATTTGCCACGTTTGCAGGCTCCCACGTTTGCATAACTTGACTACGGATGGCAATTATGAAAACTGTGGTTCGATATCAATCTTACCAAAGACTTCAAAGAGTAAATTCATATTAGCTCCTTTTCTTTGGCCCCATTTCTTACAGCCATCAATATCAGTTGTAATTATCTTCAAACTTTTATCAATTTCTGGTGGTTTCTGAACTATCTTGGATTTGGTTGTAGGTTGTTGCACGATTTGCTTTTCATTACTCTGAAAGCAAACACAACTTACAAGATGTTTTGGCATAATAGAAAGGTACGTATGCGTGAAAAATACGTTACATATCGCAGCTAAGAAAGCGAAATTCACTTGCGAATCAGACAAAATCCGAATGCTGCTCTGACTTACAGGTTAACATTGATTTTGAGATAACATTTCAATCGTGTCCTCATAAAGGCATTAATATTTTTCTACTGGAAAACCAAGTTATCTTCCTTGGCCAATTATAAATATGCAGAGTTTACGATCTCAGTCGCAAGACGTTCTCGGTAGGTGCGCAATCATAATTGCAGAGTGGAATGGCTCAATAGATACCAAATTTGATTTCTGAAACTTAGAAAACCTCATAACTCACCCTAAACTGCTGAGAATTAGTGATAAAATTTGGTTGATATCTGTTGTTCCTGAAATACAAAAAAAATCTCAAAATGTTTGTCAAGAATATGCTTCTTCTGTGGTACAAAAAACAACATTTTGTTGGCAAACCGAGAAGCTGTTGTCTCGTCTCTCTAGCATTAACATTCCCGCCATAGTACTTGCTTAGTGGTGCTCAAATTGGTCAATATTTTAGTCAATTTTACTATTGCTACAATTACCTGTTATTGTTGGAGAACATTGTCTGTTGCGGTGGATTTTTGTTTCCGAAAGCCAAATTCCAGTTCGAACTGTTACTGACAGATTGACCATAATCGGAACCTCTTGATCCAGTATTTCCAAACATTGATGTACTCTGGAATCTGAAATATTTAATTTTCGAGAATAAACGATTGTGGAACCGTTAAACGGCTAACCTTGTGAGCCATACAAGTAAAAAAAAATAGCCGAGATCGAGACTAGGGCATATTTTTGACCATTCCCTTGATTCAAGAGCTTTACAACCAGTTGGAATTTGTTGGTATCATAGAATCGAAATTCTACAGAACCACTGCCGTTATTGGTCAGTGGATTTATTTCGAGAGGGAGGTTATTGCCGATTCTAAACACCTTCCAGCAACAAAATGCACATTTGAATTTCTATGCTGAGATATGTACCTGCTATCATAGCTGTTAACTGTATGGACTCCTGAATTACCAGGCATACTTCCGTCGAAATTAGTTGTTGGTTGATCATATGAACAATTAGGCTGAAATTGTTGACGTTGATTACCCTGATTTGGTGGTGCACCCCCATATTGTCTCTGTTTCGAGTAGGGTCCTGAAAAGGAAAGCTCTATCTTCAGAATTAGGTGCAGATTTTGAGTAACACCACCTTCTATTTGAATAGTTGCGGAGGGTCTAGAAAAAGTTGCCATTAGGTCAGGGGTAAACCATCGACAGTTATACGCTTTTACAACCATATCGCTATGAGTTTGTCAACTCGGCTTTCCTTTAAGTACACATAGGTCCTAATAATTATTTTGTACAGTACTGTAAGAGAATACTTTGTACTCGATCTATATATTTTGTATTCAATAGGGATATCATTACTCTTTCTATGAGCTCTTAACCTATAAATTAAAAGTGCATTGAACAGTTTGAGGTCATGTATCTCAATGAGTCACTATTAATATGGGGTATAATGACGGTGAAGTACAATTAAAAAATATTCAAAAGAAATCACCTCATGACTAATGTGGGACTTCTAGTGAACAAATGTCAGAAGAATATAAATAAAATTCCCAAACATAAGGAAAATCTGCAACGGTTGGAGAATGGCAATGAACTCTTTTATAGGCCTCTTACAGATCATGATTTCTAATATATAATACACAGCTTAATACTTTACCATTTGGACCGAAATCGACAGATGACGAGTCTTTGCGTTGTGTACCATAGGAGTTGGTTGGTTGATTATAATTGTGTCTATTTGATGATTGGTTAAAACCACTCCTATAATTTGATTGGTTTATACTCTTTCCTTGGTTATTTGATTGGTTGAAATTATTTTTTGGAAAATTTTCCGATGTTTTTGATTGGTTATAATTATTGGTAGATGAAGCTGAATGGTTGAAACTGTTAGTAGGCAGGGCTGAATGGTTGAACTCTATATTGTTGGGTTTTGAGGAATTAAATCCGACATTTGGTTGCCTATTTCCAAAATTGGGTTTGCAGGATGATATTGGATTTGGAATAGCCGTTTTATTCAAACCACCACAGACTGATCTGTTAAATGTCGGCTGTCTCTGACCTCCGGTAAATCCGCCTACTGGCATTAAATCTGAAAAGATTAAAGCGTTAGTAGCCTTTGGTGATATGAAACTGGAAACTGCGTCTGAAAACTGTGACTCTTCGGGCTAAAACATTAACTTTGAACGTTAGGCAGATTACTTTGTGTGAACACAGGGCCCTTCTCGAAGAAATGGAAGAAAGTTTTGACGTCATATTTTCTGCTGTTGATTAGGCTATAATTAAAACCAATGAGTTATAGAACTCAATAAAAGACCTTATCAGCCTCATCGTCTTCAATTTATATCAAGGGATCTGAGAAAGAGGAATAGGGGAGGAGACTGTAGCCATCCAAATCAATGAAAACTTGCTACCTAATGGTGTAGGGCCTAATGTACAAAATGTGCCCAACTACCTGGCATTTTATTTGGTGGTCCAGGTTGATTAGCGTCTGTAAACATTGCCTGCCTCTGGCGTTTCCTTTGATTAAATATAGGAGCTGGAGTTGCTCGGCCCTACGATTAAAATGGATAAATCATAAATTAAGAGTAGGCTATTCCAGGACCCAATCGAGAGGGCTGCAATAAACATTTAGAAAAATGGAATTTGAATATAATGAACATTTTAGGCCTATACATATACATGCTAAAGTAGTTTCCAAATTGATCTGGTTTGTTAGTATTATTGAGATGAGTACTTTATGAACTGGAATACCTACCTGCATAGTCGCCTTTTTTATTTTTTTTTTTGAAAATCTGTTATTTCTTCAACTCGATTAGTCTATATCTATGGACTAACTGAAAAGCAAAGCCAAAATTATCCTAGGCCAAAAAACTATAAAAAAAACTATAATGAGACAAACTTAAATCCTGTAGCCTGCAGTCATTTTAATTTTTTTCTTATCCTCATGACCCAAATGACAAATATCCTTGACTTTGAGCAGTGTTAAGGCAAAACTTATGGGGCCTTGACTACTGTAGGCTATGCTTACACATCCATTTGGCCTTGAAAAAACTAGTCGCAATGACATGGTCAAATCCTGAACAAAGAGCTAGACATTTAACAGCTGCATGATTTTGAAAATAGGATAAGGCACAGAACTGATAGTCGTAGAAGGCGTTAATCCAAAATGTGAAGCTGACGTGATGTCCAGAAACCCTATCAATAACAGTAGTAGGGGGCCTATCAGTATAGAAAAGAACGGAGTGGGGGCAAGGGACGTAGAAAACCTACTCGCTTTTTTTTGACTTTTTGACGTTTGCTACGAGCTTTTAAGAAGTAAAATCCTTTGACCACGAATCATTGGTGATCTAATATTTAAGGGGAAAACAATAAAAAAAAAAAATAAGGTTGCCTTTTGCTTTCATGAAACGAGTTACCTCCCCTTACTATGGAAACAGACCACCAACATTTATTTCATGTAAATAATGGGAGATAACCAATATCGGTATAAACAATTGAAAAAACAGTTAACTTTGCTTTTTAATTCATCTTTTTCCAAAATGATTTTCCCTATTTTTTTTGCAGTTTTACAGCTAGTAGAATTTGGCATATTGATATGTGATTGTAGGCCTAACATTCAATTTCAAAGTCTTTTCCTCCACTAAATACATGAGGATAATAATATCAAATCCATTATTTTAAAGTACAATTTTATTGCAAAAAGTGTTACAAAACATATTACAATTCATAAAACAAACTTGGTTTAACCTGTAGATTTTATTTGCATCGTTCAAAAGCACTCCTCATCCTATGTAAGTGTAAGAGCCTAACTATATTTCCTTTCAGTGAATCTGATTTGAATGGATATGAAAAACGGCATTTATGGAAAGAGGAACCACAAAATCTTGTTATGAGAAAGCCTATGCAGATAATCAAAATAACAATATGAAAATCACAGTAAGTGATATGAAAAGTTGAATCTATAAAAGATCATTTTACCCTTTTTTTACTTCCAAAAGATAAGAATTGTCATGTACAGAAAACAAAACAATCATAAGAACAGTTGGTCTTACGGCCATAAACACATCCTAAATAAAACAAAGAAATAGATAGCACTATATAGCCTAGGGAGTTACTGCAATGACCCAGAAGGATATTGAAAGTATCAATTCTAATGTTGGAACACACTGGGGATGGATTAAAGTACATGTACACAGTGAATTATCTATATCAGTAGAAGCCTATAGGAAATTTTCTATTAAAAGATTCTGTCTTTAAAGTCAAAACAATTAGCTAGCAGCTTTTTTAAGCTGTGTGCTGAAAATATATCAATATCAGACAACATAGCTCTGAAACACAGAAAATTTTTCTATTAAATACAGTCGCTCCTTACTATATTTGGAAGAGTTTTGACTATGGCAGTAAACTGCAATTGTATTCTTGTCCTAAAGGTACAATTATATGTTTTGCCCATAAATTGCAATGAACACAAATTTGCAACAACATCAATTCACATCGCTCTGGCTTCTTTTAAAGATTTAGGAGTTAATTTATTATTGTGGTAGTCCTCTGTAAATTGAGCCACAATTTCCTTGGTTAAGTCTTTTTCAGGACATATATACACTCGCTGCTCTGGAAGATCAAGTATTGCTAGTAAAGGGTTTTGATCATCCAGTCCTGTAAAATCACGAACTTGATCACAGAATTCATCCTGAAAAACAATGATTATTATGATCAAACAAGGACAAATGTGATGAAATGACATTATGTAGGCCCCTTCTCTATTGTTCTACACTTCAGAATACCTTATTGGTACCAAACAGAATGGTATCTATCTCTACCTTATATGCCATGATAATCTTCACTTTTACAAGCGAAATGGACTAACAAAACCTCAATTATCACATAAAATAATTCACAAAACTTAATCTTAGAATGGCCAGACCTTTACTATATAATAGATACTTACATCACCTCCATAAAAGAAGAATAATTCTTGATCTTCTCCTTTCTGATGATCTTTAGTAGCTGTTTCTGTTAACAATTCTTTAGCTCTTTCTATCTCATCTTCTTCACCTTCTGCAAAATAAAACAAAATTAATTTTGAAAAAGTCCATCATCAGTGTATCCAGAAACAGGAAAGGAAAAGGAGTAAAAGGAAACAAGAGCACAGGTCGGCTCTCGGTCATCCTACCATATTAAGCATCACTTTTGAAGATCACGACCCAGATAATATGTTTGTCATTTAGGACATGGTCAATGTCTGGGCTCAAGGACCAATATTGGCTAAACGTAGATGCTGAACTCAGATAGACATAAAGAAAGTCTGCCTTAGTCTGAGCTGGAAAAGATCATTGAATGTATGACATATCCGTTCATTATTATCTCACTTTGACAGTTGCTTCCTTGTTTGTTCTCACATTATCACTTTATCAATGCCTTCACACTCATTACCACATATTTAAGAAAGGCAATGACCCATCTTTAGCTGTGTTATTACTGGGACAATTCCATCATTGTGGATAATTTTTTGCTGATGAAAAAAAGGCAAATTGAAAGACCTCACCTGTGAATAAGACTAGGCAAACTGATTCATTTAACTGGAGAGCAGCATTCTGGGTTAATTCATCTAGTGGTTTAGGGTACCAGGGATATTCCTATAAATGTACAAGTTTTTTTTATTACAAAGATACCAAGACTGGCTTCACAATGATATTATGTAGAGATTCCAATGCCAACCAACTGTGTTACAGCTTATTCTTAATAGATTAACATTCACCTCAATCAAAGAATTAATGAATATTCACAGAAATGTTACAATATTTATATGAATTTACACAATAAAAAATTCAGATGTTCAAATGAGCAACTCAGATAACTAAACCGAAATGCTTATTTTCCACAAAGTTTGCATAATATCTAACTGTATACTTACACTACAGTTGTTATCAAGTAGTAATGAAGAACGTCCATTTAATGTTATAATAGAACCTTTTTCATCTATCATTACTAGAGTAGGTATTCCTGCAAGTACAACAAGTCAATAATACAAGTGACAGGATGGTTTTAGGACATCTTTCTTCCTGATAGTCTCAAAGATTTTTACAGGAATAAAGATTGACTTGTGATGGTTGCATTCAGTATAGAAATTATGCATCAAAAGAAGTTCTAGTTCCTGTAAAATTCCTGTTGGTGTTGAGCATAGTATTCTCAACCAAAAAGGTCAAGGTCTGAACATGAAGATTTTAAGTGTTTTCATTTCTGAAAAATTTCATGGCTTCTGCCTTCCGCCATTGACCTCAACAAATTGAGAAAAATTGAGCACAATACTGCATTTCTATACAGGTTTTATGACAACAAAGTAAACCAATACAACATCTGGCTACATTAATAGTTCCTGTTATAATAGAATTCCACTTACCATCCACACCATATTGTGAAGTGAGAAGTTCTAGTCTGGAATCACCGAAGGGAATGGCCAACCACGGCATACAACTATAATATTGTGAGAATGATTCTGAACTCCTATCAGACGACACAAATATTATCTCAAAATTCTTGCCATCTTCTTTTAATTTTTCATAGGTTTTGATCAATTCTGGTGTAAAATGGCGGCATGGTGGACACTGAAATAGAAATGATATTGAAATTATTTTTACTTTCTCTTTGTTCTGCTCTTTCTGGGTGTCTAAAAACTAGCAACACATAGTGGGCCATTTCTCCAATGCATCCCGAGACAGCATGAGTGTCAACTATAAACTTTTATTCATGAACTTGAAATCTTTAATATCCTAATAATTGTATTAAAAGCAGAATGAAACCTGGATTTTAGAGCTATCAAATCTAAAGTATGATAAATAGGCCTTTAGATATTGACAGAGCAATATTCAGGTCTGTCAAACATAAAAGGGATTGGAATGAAGTTTTTTAAAAATTTTTATGTGTATCAGGGACACGGATAGCATCAACTTGCATCATTTCAATTTTTAGTCAGTGGTTCTGCAAATCCACAAAAAAGAAGTGTTTGTTAACATAAACTATCATGAAGGGCCTTATGTGATAAAGCATATTTCACGATTAATGACGTCTTCAAACACTTATTTTTTGTGGAATTGCAATAACCACGGACGTCTGACTGAAAATTGGACTAGTGCAAATTGATGCTATCAGTGTCCCTTATGAACATAAAAAACTTAGAAAACCACTTTTCAATCCCCTTAAGGTTTCTGCTAGAAAATTGTGCCCTACTCAAGAGCATGTTTTTGTATGAAAATTCAATTAAAATTATAAACAGAACCTGAAACATGTTGTTACTCAGAGTTTCATAATTCAATTATTCATTTATTCAGTAAATTCAAGTGAAACCTCAACAACAAATAATTCAACATCTTCAACTAATTCGTTAGAAGTAATTCAATTTAAACCATGAAGCTTTTTAAATAGAAACATTTCTAAATTTAGCATGAGTTTGTATATTTTGAAACGTGGATTTGTTAGAAACTGATGTTAAAACCTAATTAGTTTCTTATCTGAGTAATCTACTAATTAAAACTGACTGATATTGACAGTCTGACAACCTCTGCTGGTGATATTTCAATTTCTACCAAGTAAACTGTTCAAGATATGCTGGATTTTTCATGGAGGTAACATTATTTCAGTTTTGGTCGTGATATAACTTTTGTTTTGAAGAATAAAAAATACCATAATTTTATTTTATAAGTCAAACAGCTTCAATGATAGCAAAATGAAGCAGTTCAGCCAAATAACAATTTCTCACTAACATAGAGGACCAAATTTCAATCCTGGCAAAAGTTGAAACGTTACCAAAGTTGGAGAGGTTGACATGAAAAAAGCATTTTTAGGATGAGACAATATACCAAGACCCTGTGTTGTTCAGGCTTTGGGCTTTAAGAATTTCTTGCCAGTTAAAAAAGAGTAGGTTAATACTGAGCTGACAATGCCCTTCTTTATCAGCCCATAATGGACCACCACTATCATTTACCAAAAAGTATTTATCATTCAGAAAGGTGATATGCTAGTTAAGAAAAGTGTGAATTAACAGATTCTTGTGACACATATAACTCACAAATTGTACATTTTTTTCTTCAAGTAAACAGGAAATCAAGAAAAACTTGTTATTTCAATGACCTTTTTTATACCATAAATTTAACATCAGATCTAATAAGGATAGGTACATTTAGTGAAAGAGAAATCTAATCTCCCTGACTGAGACCTAACCACACATAGTGATGTCCCCTTTCCACTCCTTCAATCAAAGAAAGACACAGTGTAATTAAATCTCCTTGACTTTATGTGAGAATCACCTACATAGCAATGTCCCCTTCCCATTGTAGAATTCTACAAAAACAGACAACTGAAATCTAATCTCTAAGTTTTCACTTGGACCTACCCACACAACGATGTCCCCTTCACGACCCTCCCCTCCTTATTCCCCCCACCCCACCCCCCCCTCCATCATGTTTTAATCAAAGGAAGTAAAGTTAAGTGTATGTAGATATAGAAAGTTGAACCCAGTAAGAGAAGATATCTACTTAGTATATAATAGACAGCTGTTTTAAAATTTAACTTGTCCCAATCTGTTTGGTTTATTACAGATAAAATCAAAAGCATGTAAAAAACAGACAAATTTGTTGCACAAATGCAGTTAGTGTAAGAATCAGTAAAAGCTGGATATAGGTTAATTTCTTGGGCAAGAGACTACAAAGAAAATTTACAAATATGATGATGTTTTTATATTACATAACATACGTTATTCAGATAACCATAAAATCATTTCTAACTTTGATAATGATAAATATCCTATGTAAGTGTAAACATTATGATAATGTTATATTTATACTGTATATGAGGTGTTATGTTATATAATATCTTCTAAACCAGATTGTACAATAACAGTACATTCCCATTAAACTTTTCAAATTGTCTCCATGTTGATTAATTTTTCAAACTTTTTCAAATGAATTATTAGAGTTTGTTGGCACAGTTTTACATTTGACAGTAAAATTCTAATGGAATTGAATTTTAACTAACCTATTATCATAGCCAAACTTTGCCAAGTATAAGAATTATGTATAGTGCAACTGGGAATGGATATACATGCAAAATTTCGTTGTAGTCTGATTTTATGAGGTTGTTCAACTTACAGTCTTATTTCAGCAACATCTCATACTGTTAATTCATTATACAACAATTTCTATATTTGTATTTTTGAAAATGGTACATATAATTATAAATAAACTTCTCATAATCATCTTAAATCAAGACAAAAAACTGGCCAGTATTCTCAAAACAATCTTAGGAGTTTTAGGTTGTAACGAAAGCACAGGCACAGGCATGTAGGCTTAACATCTAGTGAGAGAGTATTGAATGATATAATAAAATTTGAATATATGAAATGAAAATTCATATTCTTCAGAATCTGAAAATAAAAGAAGAATAATTAAGGAACATTAATATCTATGGAAATTGTAATAAATATATTTTTCTGCTAAAAATGCTACTTTGCTACGATATCCTAGAAACAGTGTTAAAAGATAAGAACCTAAGATCATTTTGAGAATACACAGCCAGAGTAATAGAAAGAATTTTTGGTTCCCATATTCTACTGTGTTGGCAGGTAAACTCCTAATAAGGACAACATAAACAAACATTCTTGTCACATGAAAAAGATTAATCAAAATTCACAGCCTATTCATGAACTATTGAGATAACATGAACCACAGTCTCTTATTGATAATGGGACTGCCTTTAAACAAAAATGACTATGCTATTGCATCCAGTCCTGCACCCAATCACATCTGTGAATATTTAAAATATCTAATTTGAATTTGAGAGGTTGTAAGTCATAGAATATAATTTCCCTTACAAAAATTAATAAAAAGGTATGTGAAGAGAAGACAAGATATCTTTTTACCCTTTTTAAGAGATACCTCACTATATTTTCACATACAGATTAAATACTTTTCACATTTCAAACACTTTCACATTTCACGCTTAACAATATAATGTGCTGTTACATGTTGATATCAAAATGTCAATGTACCAGATTGGTAAAGGTTTTGATAGAAGCCACGAGGAAATGTTTTCTCAGAGCACCTGTCTAGTATCATGCTTTATATAACAGAAGATAAATAACATAATGGAGGTTTCATTGTAGACATCTTAATCTTCTTGAGAATCACAATTTTGGCAAATAGAACTGATTCCATCACAAATGTTCTCAATCTAATTTGTCATGAAAAAAAAATTCTCAAATATTCCTGCAATTCCCTGATTATTAAATGGGATTATATAAGGAGTTAACAAATTACAGAACATCTATATACAATATGTAGGAGTTAACAAATTTAGTACATTTATATACAATTGGTAGGAGTTAACACATTTCAGAACATCTATATACAATATGTAGGAGTTAACACATTACAGAACATCTATAATTATAAAATATGTAGGAGTTAACAAATTTAGTACATTTATATACAATTGGTAGGAGTTAACAAATTTAGTACATTTATATACAATATGTAGGAGTTAACAAATTTAGTACATTTATATACAATTGGTAGGAGTTAACAAATTTAGTACATTTATATACAATTGGTAGGAGTTAACAAATTTAGTACATTTATATACAATATGTAGGAGTTAACAAATTTAGTACATTTATATACAATTGGTAGGAGTTAACAAATTTAGTACATTTATATACAATTGGTAGGAGTTAACAAATTACAGAACATCTATATACAATATGTAGGAGTTAACACATTACAGAACATCTATAATTATAAAATATGTAGGAGTTAACACATTTTCCATTTGGAATGACAGAAAACCTGCTGTTATGTATACCTTCTGCCTGAAGATTTTGATCAAACATGATACAATTGCCACCAAACAACAGTTAGCAGGTGTCAATTTGACACTATCACCTGTTAGATGAATATCATCAGGTAAATTAATGCCATGTTTTATCAAATGATGGGTGATGTAGGACTTTAGTCCAGAGGGGATAATATGGTTAGTTTGATATGCCCTTCTTTTCACTACCATGGAATGGATTTTGATTGTTCAAATTAAATAAAATCGATAAGTGAACTCCAAAAAATGTCTGTCCCAGTTATAGAACTGGGTAACAGTGAACAAAGCCTGGTTTAATCAGATCAGTTATGTATAATGGATTGTTTCCGCCATTCTGCATTAAAAAAATGATTAAGCCTAGTCCTCTATAGAATGAAGGGAATAGTTTTGGTTAAACCTTTAACTCGGGAAGATTTTCCAGGCAGATACAATTTTCTCCAATAACAAGCCAAAGCGTTTGACTGTTAAAGTTGCTAATTTTTCTTGCTGTGCTCATTCTAGAAACTCAATTCAATTCTTATCTGTAGAATTTCAAATTTCATCATAATTTATTTCTTGAAGAAAGTTGTGAATAATTGATCAAGAAGTTTTTATAAAGACTATAAACAAACTCCACCCACGTCTTATCATTATATTATACTCAATAACTAATTACTAGGTGGTCCCAAACTCATATCTCCTTCATTAATTATACACTTTGATAATGTATTAAACTGAAAATATTTGAGTATGCAAAGAGTAACTAAATATTTAAAAACCCATGATCTTTTATTCTATGGGTACAGTGATCAGTAAACTTGACCAGTGCCCTAAAACTGTTTGAGAACCCATACCATCCTAGTCTCATCTCTTACAACTGTGGTTTTGATTGATTGGTCCATTTTTTTGTGTTAAATTCTTTATCCAATTAGGTCTTATTCTCCTAAAAACTTATTTTCACACATCCAACCACTTTAAAAAATGGACATTACTTACCCAATGAGCTGAGAAATATAAACCAACAATTTTTCCTTTAATCAATTCATTAGAATCTAACAGTTCATCTTTACCATTTAATAGTTTTCCCTTGATCATTTCATAGAAAGGTTTGATTCGCCATGGGAAATCTTTGCCCGATTCATCCTCCATCAACTGACTGAAACCATCAGTTGTAATTAATTTACCATTCTCACCATCAATTAAAACAAATCGTGGTATACCTCCAACTTTATATTTCTTTGTTAGTTTAGCCTGTAAGAGAAAAACACAGCTTATTAAAGAAAATGACTGGCTGATAAGTTAAGGGACAGCCTACAAAAATTAAACTTTTTACAACTAAAAAATAATCCAAAAGAACCAACGGGATAAACATAGCTAGTCAAAAGAAATATTTGTATTATATATCTAAATGACTGGCAAAATGATTAAATAAAGAACCCTCTTGCTTTTTTATAATATTTTCAATAATAAAATGTTTTCACTGTTAAAATAGAGATCAACATAATTTTCAAATTGATTCCTTAACATATAGAAGTGATTAAGAATCATTTTGCATCATTTTCAAACATGACTGGTAAATATCAAGTCAAATGCCTATCACTTTTTATATTATAAATATTTGAATTGATTCCAAGATGTAAATAACATATATTATTCAAAGTTGAAACTGTGTGGCATAATGGCATTGGCTAATTGCTTAATTTCAAATAAACATCATTTCATTTCCCAAAAATGTCTGGTAACTATTATTAAATCTTAAACCCTATTGCTTTTAATATGTAAAGATATTTGAATTGATTCCAAGACTGTGTGGCATGCTGAGAGTTGTTAATTACTTCATATATGTAGCCATCAATTTCTCAACAATACTCAAACATGACTGGCAAATATTATGTTTAAATGCTTGAATCTATTCCAAGACTTTTACCAACTTATATTATTTAATACAGCAACTTTATGAAAATGAAAATGCTAATACTTTATATGAATAGAAAGTAGAGGTGTTCTAATGACTTGGACAAATACCAGTTTGTCTCACATGTCAATAATTAATTCATAATTAGATAAATAAGAAGAGAATTACAAGCAGAATTCGAATGAGTGACTGATCAA